ATTGCACACAGAGTTCCATCAGATTAAAAAATATTTTTCTCCCTTCTATCTGGCCAACTGCTTCATCATCTCTGGTGAAATATCTGCGTCCCTTGAGAGTCTTCCTTTCCCCTTCCGCGTTAGCTTCAACTGAGTTAGGTACCCTTCCTCTGTCATCCTACCACTTCTCATCACTCTCTGTATGAGCTTCATTTTAGAAATTGACATGGTGACTATAATTCTTGGTTTTCTTCTACACTCTGAAATTCAAGAAGTCAGGGACTATTTTGCTCATCTAATTTCCAGCATTTAACATAAGAACTGCCATCTAGTATGCATTCAATAAATGTATAGTGGACAAATTCATTAACTTGAGAAAAACTAAACACTTCTCAAATTGTAGAGTTATAATTTAAAATTTAGGTTCTCACGAGAATCAAAGAGACAATACTATAAAAGTGGTTTGAGAATTGCAAAACTTTAGATAACATTAGTTATTGAGATATTTAAGTTGAAAACAATTGGAACTTAGGAATGTCACATAGGGACACAAGTCAAAAATAATGTACCTTAAGAATGCTGAGAATATATGGTGAGGCCACTTACCTTTTTTTAAAACGAGAATAAGAAACTTGTTTTAGAAAAATTTGCGTGAGGGAAGAATTTAACCTTAAGAAATGTCTGCAAACAATAAAACCTATCATAGAGATACTAACAGTACTTGAGAAGGTAGTTTTATATTGACCAATCACCACTTTTTTCTTTCATTGCTGAAAAGCATTATTTATTTATATTTATTCACTTTTATTCCACTGTTTTTTATATAAAATATTTAAAAATCTTTCAATAATGTCATTCATTTAAGTGATTAGGTTTATCAAAGGGGACATGGGTAATCATATCGCTAAATTTCTGTTATCTTCAAATTCTGGAAATATGGGGAAGATGTGTGTGTGTAATAGAGAGAGAGATTAAAATCGAAAAGGAGAAAGGATTTCCGCTACATTTTTAAAAACCTGCTTTAAAGCAAAAATGTTCCTTACAATAATTAAAAGGGATCCATATCACTAGATGAAAGAAGCCAAAAAGACACTCTTTGATATTTTATAAAATGTATATGTGTGCACGGAATTAATGATAAGTATAATCTTGAACATGTTACTATAGTTCACAGAATTTGTCGCTTCTGGCATTCAATACTCTTTAGATCAGTGGTCTCAGACCAGCAGTCACAGGATCACCAGAAAATCTGTTAAAATGCAAATTCTCAGGTTCAATCCTGGACCTACTAAATCAGAATCCTTGGGATCTGTGTTTTAACAAGCTCTCCGGTGATTCATATGCACATTAGTGTTGGGAAAGGAATGCTTTAGTACACACTGTTCTTCAAGCCTTTCTAGACATATAAAATACATAATATAGAAATAAAATATATATCTCCTGGTGCACAAGTGTTTGTTGGATGAAATAACGTCAAAGTAAAAACGACTATTCAAGGAAGACAAGAAGGTAAACGTAGTAACTCTCTTAATAGCGGTATGGAACAATCATTCCTCCGGCATTTCATGTTCTCAGGAGAAAACGTGTAATTATTTCATTCAGAAAAACAGACTATATGTATAATTTTGTGGAAAATTATGAAATTACCTAGAAAATGACATTTAGTTTTAACATCTCAGTGATATATTTTAGGTTTCTATTTTTAAAACAACTTTCCTGATTTCATTTCCAAAAATAAGCCAGAATAAAACTGATGTTGACACTCACCTTCCTACATTCCCTGGGCCTGCTCATATTTGCCACAGACCTTACTAGCTTTAGATTATTTAAAAGCTGATCATGTACTTAATCATGACCTAAGGAAGAACTAATGCCTCTCGTTTTTACCCTGACGCCCACTTCTTGGTTATTTTATCATTTCAGGTCACTGCTCCTTAGCATTTGGGACTGAAGAATAGGAAGTAACTCAAAGTAGCCAGGTTTGCTAGCTGTTGGTAGTTGTTATAAGGAGTATAATGGGGAAAGCTGTCTGCATTAATGGTTAAAATGAGAAGTGTGAAGAAAGGTTTTAATAGTTCACATGCCACCTAGATGCCATTACTGATAAAAGTAGTTTGTTTATTTTTTTGTGAGCATTAGGTACAACAATGAAATGAGGTGCTCCTGTAGATGAGGCTCAAACAACTGTCTCAGTTAAAAAAACAATTTGTTAAGAGACACCAACTTTAGTTGGTTGGGTTAGCTATTAAATGACAAGAAAGTGCATTGTGTGCTTAGGTTACTAGTTTATAAACAGTTGGCTTCTCTGCAGTGGAAAATATTGACCATCCACAAAGCAAATGTGAAACCTCGCTTTCAGGTCTCTCTACCAGTTTACAAATGGAGCCAGCTGTGGCCAGCGTGGACAGAATGGTCACTGGCTGGGAGGGCCCTGCTTCTCTTTCTTGGTGCTGGGTACCGTAGGTGGGTTGGCAATATGACGTGCCGGTTGGGTTTGAGGGGTCACCTTGGCTATCATTTTAGCCCTAGTGTTAGGACACTGCAATCTCATGTCCACATTCAAGAGGACCTAATTCAGATCTGGCCAGACAAAAACACCAATTACTGAACTTCAATTGGGACTTGGAAGTCATCGCATTCTACCATTCTACTGATATAAAAATTGTGCCGAATACCTTAAGGCTGAGAAAGTAAAACATTACCCAAACACTTGTGGGCAAGAAGAATGCATTTGAAGAATCTGGATGGCCAATTAAAACTCTTAGTGAAATGCTATTAAACATTTTTAAAATAGCTATTAATCAATAATGTAAAATTTTTACAATCCAAATGCCCAAGTTATCATTCAAAATAGACAAATTTAAGAACACATCAAAAGGAAAAGAAACATTGGCTGGTATTAATTTATACTTTAGTTTTTTCTGATATTTTGTCATTTAAGATTGCAGTAACTTCTAATAAGCAATTTATAATGTTCAAAATGTAGCATTTCTTAAGTGTTCTTTTTTACCCCTCATAAACTGCATAAACCAGACCAAGGACTAGTCCAGGATCATTTTTTTTATACTATAGGTATAGAGATTGAGTTCAGTTAAAACCCTAATAGCATTAATTTATTAGAGGCAGTGCCAGTTGTCATGGCAACATAATCCCTATAAATACAATGAAAAGACAGTAAATGTGAAAATCTAAAAATAGCTATTTCTTTGGAAAACAGGAGTATGGCTGGGCCAAATAGTTAAAATACAAAGTAAAAAGCTAATTATTTCAGTAATTTTAAAGTCAGCTTTATGATACCTGAAAGGGTCTGGACATACTACATGTAGCATTTTGATAATCATTGTTGTTAGAGCTAATCCTTACAATTCAAAAAAAACAGACCTAATTACTTCATGTAATTACATTCTTTCTCACCATCCCCCTCCAAAATAATAACCAGTTTATCATCAGTCTTCTGGGAAATTCCACCAATGAGAAGTGCCCATGGGCCTAATCCAGCTGTTTCCTAAGGCCATGCATATATGGAGTTTGCACTTTGTCCCTCTACATAATATGGCTGCCTCATTAAACTTGCAAAGATTAGCATGAACCCTCTGTGCCCCTTTGCCTCACTCCCTCCTCTAGCCCTCAAAGAGCTTCAACAAAACATAGAAACACAGTGGTGGAACAACATGGATGGATACCTTTATAAAAGAGAACCACGATCTTCTGAAAGGCTTTCATGAAATGGATATTGTCATAACAGTATTCCTGAACCTTCTGGAGGAGGATCAACTCTGACTGGCCTTGGGAGCTGAACACAGCCAGTAGGGGAGCGTATTGCTGGAACAGAAGTGGGGAGTAAAACCATTAACTTTTGTGGGAGGTACAGGGCCAGCAAGACTTTAATCATAACAGTAGTCTGGAGATCTGCTTAGAAAACATTCACTTTTAGGATTATTTTCTTACTGTATTGTATCCAATCAAAATGAGTATTTTATCCTACTATCTTATCAGATTTCTCTTACTCTACCCACTAAAAGAAGAGACCAAATATGAAATTCTGATTATATGAAAGATAACTGTTGTGCTACTATGTCTGTCTGTTGGATATTATGACAAAGGGTGATGTTGTCCTTCCCCAGACCCCTCATAGGTCATCTTTATGGTTTTGTTCATATTGTTCCCTTTGTACCCAATGTCTTTGGCTTCTAGGCACTGATGCACAGCCATTGTTTTCTCTAAGACCTACTCAGTTTAACACATCTCCTCCAAGGAGCCTTCCCTGATCAACTTAACCTGTATAGTTCACTCACTGCTCTGTTCTCCTAAACATCGAGAGTTATTTTTAATGTATACCAGGTAGTCTTTGACTTTCCAATTCAAGTGTAAACTCTGAAGGCAGGATTGAAGTCTTCCACTTGTCTTAATATAGTTTTATCGGAAGAGGACAATAAAAGCAAAAACATATGTATCCATGCACACGAGATATACAATTTACACAATTAGTTGATTTCTTCACCACTCAGTTACTTTTCAAATTCTAATGTCAATTTGTAGTTTACTTAAACAAAAATATTCACTAAGAATTTTGTCATGTAGAACAGAAAGAAAACCAATAGTTAGACCATATTTCTCTTTAATGAGAAATACTAAATATATGACTATTTTTTGGATTTTCTGACATTGTTTTTGGTAAGAACTTACCCTTAGATATTTCATAGGCTCTTATATCTGAAACATTTCAGGTAGTGACAAATTTGAAAAGGAAAAAATTAGGAAATATAGTTTGGCCTGAGTCTGGGTGAATTGCGTTGGAACCCATCTGTCACACTGTTAGAGTTACAGTTGGCCTGCAGCTGAGATTGTTCCTTGTTAAGACCCTGTACCTTCAGGTGCTTAAGGGCCTGCTCTGCAACGAGTTCTTCCTTCTTGTTCCACTCAACAGCATTCATTATACAGGTCCATAGAAGTCCAATCACTGCTGTTTCTGGAAGATCATTCCTCTTCATTTCTTCTTTCACATAGAGCACCACCTAAATTTCATGGAAAAAGGAGTCAGAGAGTCACAGGCAGATGGGGAGTTCCCCTCTCACTGTACCTGGTTAGTAACAGATTTGAGGCAGTTAAGTATTCTGCTCAGTACCTCCCATCCTGGTACATATTTTCAGATTACAAGAGGGAGGAAAAACACAATGATTTGTTCTCAAAGCATATTTATTTTTAGTCCAAAAATTAATAGGCTTAGCTCTGGCCAGGAGCTGCTGGATAATAGGAAATAAGAGAGAATCTTTGTTCCTTAGGAGTTATTCTTTTACATGCAGGAACCCCTCTGGGTCCAGCAGAGCAGGGGTTACTCGAGCCAGTTTGACTTTCTTGGGGTTTGAAGAAGGCAACACAGCTGTGAATTTTCTACCTCTGACCCTCAACTTTACTTTATAATTTTATTTATTCTTTCCCCCAAAGCCCCAGCAGACAGTTGTATGTCATAGTTGCACATCCTTCTAGTTGCTGCATGTGGGACGCGGCCTCAGCATGTCCGGAGAAGCAGTACGTCGGTGCACACCCGGGATCCGAACCCCGGGCCGCCAGCAGCGGAGCGCGCGCACTTAACTGCTAAACCACCGGGCCGGCCCTGACCCTCAACTTTAAACCACTTGATGGATAATGTCTTGGGTTTGTACATGTCCATTATCCACAATTCATTCTTTAATTATTACTTTTGATGATCTTCATGCCCCATCTCAGTGAAAAGTTAATTTGTAAATAAATTGTAAAGTGCAAACGTAATTTTTTATATGCAACACACCAATGCAGCAATACTCAGCAGGTTATTTTCCCCTTAGAATCATGTTTAAATATGCAAATTTATCTTCAAATATGACAGTATAGAATACAGATCTGCCTAATATATTTTATATAAAATTTGTTTGGAAAAATCTTCTTCCTCTTGAAATAATAACACAAACAGAGGTTAGGGCCTCAGAGGTGATTAAAACCTATAACATATCTCAAGTATAGTACTTTGTGAGTAGTCTAACTTTTTTTTCCCTTTTTCTTTTTTAGTGAAAATATACTGCTTTCTTTCTTGCTGGCCTGGGTTGCAGCGGGGTCAGCAGCAGGTTAACCAGACTTCAAGAAGAGAAGGAACTGGGAAGTCCTAGTCCCCGAGCTGGCTGGGGAAGCTGCAAAGAAAGGTGACATCTCTGCCTCTAAAAGCACCATGGTGCTTTTTGGTTTTGCTTTTTTCCCCATGGAAAATCATGTCCAAGTTCTTGCTTGGGGAAATGTTATTGAATATATTGCTGACCTTAATGCCACGACATTTAGGAATATTTGTTGCTCCAACACCTCCATCTGCTAGATAGCATCAGCCTGGAATTCTCCAGTCTTAAACCACATGGGGTGTCTTGCAGAGCTTAGAGCATGAAGGGTGGTAAGGGTTAGGGACTCAGGAGTAAGTGGCAAAAGGAAAGGACTCTTAATTTAGTTTTTGGATTATCATGTAAAAAAATTTTAAGTTTGAATAGGAAGTTTTATCCAGGCATGAATTAAAAAATAAATTTAAAAGATACAGTCCTAGCTATCTGAACTATAGCTATACAAACTATGTTTATATATAGCTATACAAAAATCTAGGATTTACATTATGTAGTACCAAAATGTGGTATCACACAGCCATTGTGAGTGCGATCAAACAAGCCACTGGACCAACTGCTCTTTTCTCATGAAATGAATTCAAAATCATCAACCTTTTTTTCCTTCAAATCAAAGAAAGAAATAACCCTACATATTCATACTCGGTGATGCTCAAAATACCCAGTGTTGATTTCAAACACTAACCAAATGCTTAACATGTTATATAATCTGCAACAAAGTGGAAAAACCACCATATAATGGGGTATACTGAGAGTGGATGGTAAATCTATTTGACAGATGAGCTCATTTAAATGGTATGAACAAATGCGTAAAGTTCATAGCAATAAACAAAGGGAAGTCTCCTTAAGGGAGGTGAAGCTTGTGCTACACAGTCTGTTATTCCTCTCATTCATGTGTCTTGCCCTGATGCCAGCCATGGGCTCCCACCTCCTTGATGGGGCATTCCTGAGAAAGACGCTCCTGGAGCTCCTTCTGCAGCTCCTTCCTGGTGCCCAGGGACTGCTGGACTCGCAGGAAGTCAGAAAGCTCCTTCAGACCCGCGTCAGTGAAGTATTTAGCAAAATGATCCACACTCTGTCTGTTAACTGGAAAGAGTTCCTGAAAGAGAAAAGAAAAAACAGACTGTTATATGACAAGCTATTTAAATTTCAGCAAGCATAAAGGACAAAATTTTCATATTAAAATGGCACTTAGAATATCTCATAGTTGGAGGAAAAGAACAAGGACTGATTTCCAAAAGACTAAATCTTGGGTATATTTCTTGAACATTTGCTAAGCACCTTCTAAAATTAGGCAGTTTCAAAGAGAAAAAACTGCTAAAAGCAACTTACACAAACTAGCTTCACTAATTCTGAAACATTATTTACTTTTTCTTTTACTTTAATAAAAGTATAGCATGTGTAAATACAGAACTAACTTTGCTAAATTAAATAAACGTAAATAAGACAATTTTGAATAATATTTGGATTGTTTTAAAATGACAAGAAAAAACTGAAATCATTAATCACAGTTTCCTTAACTATGAGTTAACAGACAAAAGTCAGTTTTAATAATGAAAGATTTGAGATAATATTAGAAAAACAACAATTAGAAAAAATAATTACCATCTCAAAGACCTCTATTCACATTCTGAGAAAATGCTGCTGTTATTCTAAACTACTAGCTCAGGAGCTAAAGAGAATTTTCTTATATCTGTTAATGACACGGCTCTCAATTAAGCTCATGGTGAGATCTAATCTAAACCCACTCTACCAACTCTTCAGAGTTCATTACATAATTTTGTTGGAAACTTAAAAAAAGAGCAATACAGCATGGCTGCTCTCATACTTTTACCTCATTTCCATTTTACCTTACACAGTTTGGCAGAGCCTCAGTAACACTTAGTCATGTTCTAATCCTGTGTGACTTTAACACCCAACTGAGAAATAAAGGCAATTTTCAAACCTCTCACATTTTTCAGACTGTTGCAGAGTCTAAAATATAGATCCAAACTTTTATGTTGGTTAGATTTTCATATACATGGTCAATGGTTATGTGGCTCCTATAAAAATTTCAGTAGAAAGATCTGTAATAGGTTTGCTACCATGTATAGGATATAATCAGATAGCTTCTACATCATGGCTCGAATGTCAATATTCTCTATATCATCATCCCATAATCTCCCCTGTTGAGTCATGAGATTCAAAATGCCAGAACAGAGCTGTGGGGAGCAGATATCAAACATGCATTAATGCTAAAGCAAACATTTCATATCAGAGTGAAATTTGGTCACCGATATATGTGCTACCATTTAAGGTCTTCCAAATTTGGGGTGGGGGGAACTAATTTAATTGAGTTTCTTCTATGAATCAAGATGTGGTAGGCATTTTGCTCATAATTGTGTAAAGTAAAAATTTTTATAGAGGATAAACTAAGTCTCAACAAGGTTAAGCAGTTTGATCCAAATTATGCTGCCAGAATATTTGAGGACAGAGCTGTGTAATTCCAAAGCCAACACTTATTCCATTACTCCATGCCAACATTGAGTATTCTATTTAGGAAGAATGTGACTGCAAGGTTTGATCCAAGGTTACGTTCAGAGCAATATGTCATCAAACATATTATTCATGGCTTATTTATGAACTATATCCAAGGTCCTTCTGAATGATACATAATATATTGAAAATTATTATTCAGATTAAACTGAGGTGAAGTCAGTCTAAAACATATCATGACATTTGCTGGCTTAGAACATGGTTTGCATTTGTTAGAAAAACTCTACCCTGGTACAAACTTCCATCACCTCATCCCTCAATTAAGGTCTCCCTGCTTCTTCCCTTGCTCCTCAGTCTATTCCCAATGCAACAGCCAGAGAGATTCTGTTAAGACCCTAAATCACATTATGCACAATTCTGCAGAGAATTTTCCAAAAGCTTCCCATCCTACTCAGAATAAACACCAAAGTCCCTAGATGATATGGGACATGCTACATCTCTGAGCTGATTTCCTACACTCCCGCTCTTACCAAATACTCTCTTGCTGTCCCCAACACGTCATGTCTCAAAACCTTTGCATTTTCTGTTTCCTCTGCCTGGAATACTCTTTCAGGATATAGCTAGATAGCTTCCTCCCTCACCTCCTTCAAGTCTTTACACAAACATCACCTTATTGGGGAGGCCTTCCCCTACCACTGAAAACTGCACCCCACACTGACACTCCTTAGTGCTGCCCTATTTATTTTTTTCCTCATAGCACTTTTCAATTTTTATTGTACCGCATATTTTAATCGTTTATTTAGTTTATTGCCCATTACCCTGCAATAAAAAGTAAGCCCCAGAAAGGCAAGGGTCTGTGTTTGATTCCTTTTAATATCCTCAGCTCCTAGAAAAGTTTCTGGCCAATATCTTGAGCATTATTCCCTATTCCACTGATGGGGAATGATGTCTCCCATCCTCTCTCTTCCTGGAGTTGCTATTAATTTTTCTTACTTCTGTATCACATAGCTGGGTAATTGCTAAACTTTGAGAATATGCTATTTTTTCCTAAAATGTACTAGCGCAGTCAGAAAGAATTTTGTTGTACGTGTTAATGAAACAAGAATTTCCTCCTTGACAGTGGAACTGACCCTCTGGTTCCTCATTCATTTGTTGAGTCAGCAAATAACAGGCAGGCCTAGTCCCAATGCACAGATGATTCCCCTGTCCTCATGGAACTTACAGTGTTTCTGGTAGAAACTGCCACCTATGCTTCTCATACCCAAATACATGTAGACATAGAAACAATATATGATATCGCATTTTTCAAAAAGGAAATACATTTAAAAATTTTTTTAATAAAGTAACTTAATTAAGTTAACCAAGCTCTACCTATTGGTATCTTTAAGGAACGATGCTTTAAGAAATAACTGGGCTGGCCCCATGGCGTAGCAGTTAAGTGTGCGAGCTCCGCTGCTGGTGGCCCGGGTTCGGATCCCGGGCGTGCACCAATGCACCACTTGTCAGGCCATGCTGTGGTGGCGTCCTACTACAAAGCGGAGGAAGATGGGCACGGATGTTAGCCCAGGGCCAGTCTTCCTCAGCAAAAAGAGGAGGGTTGGCATGGATGTTAGCTCAGGGCTGATCTTCCTCACAAAAAAAAAAAAAAGAAAGAAAGAAATAATTGGGTCTTTTGTGGCAAGTTGTAATAGACTGTATCTTTGTTCTCAATCATTCACCCCCTCTCTTTAAGTGAGTATTAAGAGAAGCCCCTCCTTACTGTGTCTGTCTGCAGGGGTGGAAAAGGAGCCTGTGAGTGGACTAAATTTTCCTACCCCACTGCCAGGCTTCTCAGTGACTTCTTTTGGCCAATAAAAGGTGAGCTTTTAATGCACCAGAGGAGTTCACTTCAGTCTCCTGTGTTCCCGTGCTCTGCCAAGAGGACAGAATGGCCCAGATGGGAGCTGCTCCTTCAGCCTGGGTCCCAGAATGAAAAGGCATGTAGATCTCAGGGGGGCCTCGGTAAGATACAGCTAATCCACAGACTCATGGACAAGAATATGCTCCCTTCATATGACCTTCCACTCTGCACAGCAACCTATTCACTTATTTTTTATGACTTTTCCTTTGATATACAGGGATCTACCCCAAGTCCATGAGAAGGCAGGTTTCACGAGGGCAGGTAACTTTCCTATCCTGTTCTCTACTGGCTCCACAGCCTCTAGAACCTTGCCCAGCACAGAGTAGGCACTCAGTAGATATAAGCTGAATGAAAACCATTATTAGTGGCAGAAATTAACTAGAATCTAGACTTCTTGATTTATCTTCTTTATTGTAGTATAAAGACTTTAAAAATGCAAATAGGGCTATTTTAAGATAAACTTCAAGAGACAAAGGAGTTTTAAGTGATTGAAAGTACAAGTATTTACAGTTAAAATTATTTTCAGGTCTTCTTTAGGAAAAGAGCCAGTTTTCAGAATTATCCCATGGACCGACACCCTTGCACACTGGAACACATTGGAAGAGAAAACCAGAGAAGAGACTAGCTGAAGAGAAGCAGGCAGGGGTGTCTTTCAATTTTAGACTTTGTCCTAGAATTGTAGAAGCAATTTCACTTGGAGAAATCTCTATTATCCGCACAGCTGTTGCTTC